AACTACTCAAATTATTGTTATTCTGTTGATGATGGATCTGATTTTGATTCTCAGTCTGTACTGTACTGTCCAGTGGTTGTTTATTATTTGACCTTAATGCGCAGCCTGAGGCTGAAAGTTTGGCTGTGGTGCTGGAGGCATGGCAGTGTGGCTAAGCTACTGAAAACACAAGTCCACAGCTGTCCAAACAGTAGCTGCCACTGCCTCGGTTGGCCTTGGAGCACCGCGTCCACTGCCCTTACATACATAAAACTCCGGCCAGGTCCTGACCAGGCCTGGCTCTCACTTAGTATTCTTCACCACAAATCATAAACATTTACTGAATCCTCTATTTTGTCCACTTCTGATCATTCCCTGCTCGGAGCTGTATTGGTTCTGGACCACTAAACAAAAGCTTGACCTGAACCCGAACAGATGCCTTTTCATAGCTGCTGGTGCAGCATCTGGCTGCACAAATACAACCCAAGTGGCCCAAAGCGAACTGGAGAAACAGAACACACTGCCACAGGGCTGCAGGCAGATTGAAATCTTTGCAACTCTCTCAAAGAGAATTACCGCCTTGTGATCGTACGCCTCCGCGAACCAGTGATTTTGCAGTTTAAATCCATGTCTGTCTAGACTCATATGAAGCCACGACAGTCAACAATGCTTTAAATATGGATGTTACTGGAAATAAGCTACATATTTAAAACATGGATGCTTCAAACAAATCTTCAATCCTGCAGCACCGCAGATCTATACAATCAGCACCGTTTCAAGATGGACACCCAAGATTAGTGTCACCAATTCAGTATCTGACCAAATGTCTCCCTCTCTAATCCTGAGGTATGATGCTGTTTAATGTCCAGAAAAGTTCTGCAGAACATTATGATGTCACAGTGAAGTTGACCTTTGACCTTTTGGATACAAAATGTCATTGCCTTATCATTATATCCTATTAGATTGTTGTGTGAAATTTTGTTAGAATTAGCATATAAATTCTTGAGTTATGGCAAAAAGCATGTTTTTTGAAGTCACAGTAACCTTTGACAAACAAAATCTATGCAGTTCATTGCTGAGTCCATGTGGACGTTTATGCCAAAATTGAAGTAATTCTCCAAAGGCCTTCTGCAGGTATAGCAGTCACAAGAATTAGATGGACAGATGGTTTCCCCTGCACGGAAGCGCTTAAACCTCTAAAATGCATTAATTGGATTTTGCATATTTAATTCATTTAATTAGGTGTTTTATTATGTCCTCTGCAAGTTTTATTTAAATGGAGCAGTATTTTTTTTAATACTTCATTACAATATTTTTTCAGTTCATTGAATGTTTTTATGCTTTTTGTGTAAATTAAAGCTTCATACATCGACCAACCATGCACAATTACACAAATAAAGAAAGTGTGTGTGTGTGTAATTCCTACCTGTCTAAAACAGTATTTTATTTTGTGTATTTTGCTGTTAGGAAAAAAACTGTTCCATTTCTCAAATTGGTCTCTACCTGCGAAAGTTAATTTCTCCATCTCAAGAATCTGTTCTATAGTTGTTATCCAAGAATTTGGTTTGGGTGTGACTGGATGTTTCCATGCTCCTGACACCTGCTTCATGGCTGCCACACACAGTATGTTAAAAAGGTACACTTCATTCTGTTGAATCTGCCCACATTAATTCACCCCAAGTATGTTTTCTACCTGTAAAGGTTCTTTTAAATAAAATATGAATTGTATTATTTTCTTAACCACTTCCCAACACGGCTTTAACACTGGGCAAAGGAAAATGGTTCGAGTATAGTTTGCTGTTACCCCTCCACATCCTCTCCAGCAGTTAGTTCCCGCTGAGGTTAAAATGACGCAGTAATTTGAAGGAAATTTGTCTGAACATGAACTACATACAAACTCACAAAACAAAAAAAGCTGTCATGGAGCTTTGCCTCTATTTTTCCTATAATTAGTACCAGATTACACAGTTCTTTCAGGGAAACTTCCTGGGAAATGATTAGGAAACAGATCTATAAAATAAAGTGTGAGATGGTAATAAAAGATAAAATGGACTGTGAGAAGCAGTTGCAAGCTCATAAGTGGGCTGTTGAAATCACTGTTTTATTTCAACATAAGATCTAAATTCGGTTTCAAAGCCCCTTCGACACCGCCATGATTACAGCTCTGATGGAGCAATATTGAATTTATTATCTGTTTAGAAAAGTGGTTCCCAACTGGTTCAGCCACGGGATCCAGATTTCTCCTTAGTCATTAGTTCAAGGTCCACGGAGTTTAATATATTCAGTGTCATATTTGTATTTGAACATGTCATTGAACTAGTTTTCTGTCTCTGTCAAGTCCATTGGTCAGTCACTCTACAGCAAGAAACAGCACTTGAAAATAAAAGCTCTAAGCCGTAAATTCACTGTACTTTGAAACAGAGTGTGTTTATTACAAACTTGACATGTTTGCAAGTCACTTGTGGTCCATTTAGAAAGGACCAATGACCCCCTTTTGGACCTCAACCCACCAATAGGGAACCACTGATTTAGTACATTTTAAATCTTAAATCTAAAAACACTGGGATCAGCCTAAAAATTTTTAAAGTTTTTAACTGTCAAATGCAAATTGGTAATTGCTAAAAACCTCTCTGAGAAAAACAGAAAGGACATGACCTCAGTGTCCTCAGTGGTAGCTATGGCCCTTTATTGCCCGCTGTTTTCTTTTATAAAGTATTCCATTAAGGTGTAACACATCATGACTCAGTATTGAAGGTAAGTTAAGGGATTTACCAATAAAATGACTGTATTGTTTCTGTTTTTCAGATACTTCCTGATCAATTTCAGTAAAATGTTCAGTTGAAGATGCAGCATGCCTTTAATAATAGTGACTTGTACAGATTTCTTCGAGTTAATGAAGGTAAATAACCAAAAGTATGTGGATAATATGATACTAAAAGTCTTCTTTGAGGTTTATGTTTTGAACTCAAATCAAAAGAACCATCTCAAGACTTTATAGGGGGCTGCAATTACCGAAATGTAACTCACTGTATATAAAACAATAATGGGAAAGGGAAGGAAACCTGGGTATAACAGAGGAGGAATGGGAGGAGTTATGTGAACTACAGTGGAAAGCTACAAGTTCAGCATCATGGAGAGAGTTTTGTTGGAAAAACCTCATTAGGATCTTTATTCCATCAGTTCAACAGAGTCACTGTATCAACTGTTCAAACTGTTGGAGACAATGTGGGTGCCCCGCTGCCAAACATTATCACATATTCTGGTCTTGTCCATCATTAATTCCTTGCTGGCAAGAGGTTCATTCAGTTTTGCAAAAAGTGGACATTCCATTTAAACTAGAGACTTCGAGACTAGATATTCGGGCTCCTTGCCATTGGACAATGTTACCTCTCATTAAAGATATCTATTTCAGATTCTAAGTGCTGCTAGTAGGAAAGCCATTACTAGAAAGTGGCTGAAGCCAGCAATACCTACAGCTGATGATTGGAGTGACGTTATATATGACGTCTTTAGGATGAAAAGGATTACTTTTTCTATTAGACTGCAACAAGACAAATTTTTCAAAAGATGGGAAAATTGGATGGTGTACATTAAACCAGTTTGTTCTTCATTTGTTTACAGCAAATTTATGTCCCCCTTGTGTTATTTTATTTTATTTTATTTATTTTCTGGTTTTTTTTTACCCCGTTCCCCTTTTAGTTAATCATTTATCTTTATTTTTTCTATATGTTAATATATTTTTTCTTTATATTTCATATTGTTATTTTTATTGTTATTTCAACATTCTGGTTCTATATATTCTCTCCTTTTGTGTATTAGTTTTTCTGTGTTCTGTGTGTGTGTTCATATATTTACATTTACTTTATCGGCCCATTTTGGCCTCTGTATTACACACTGTAACAAACTTTTATGTTACTTTCTGCTGTAACTGTCCTACCGAAGGCCTGGAATGAGGGCTATAATCCCTTTGAGTATGATTAAGCTGTCTGACTGGACCCTGAAATAACTAAATAAAAAGAGAATCTAAAAAAAAAAAGAAAGAAAGTTTGATCCAGTCAGAGGTATTTTTGTTGTTTCTGATCTACTAGTCATTAGTTACTACAGGAAATTGATCACAGCATCACACTAATATTCACAAGCATGCTTTGGTCTTTGATAAGCCTGATTCCTCTGAATGCACCATTCATCTGCAGAGAGATAATAATACTGGAAACACTGATTTTTAGTAAAATCAACTGTGCAATCAATTATTCAAAAGAGTTTTTTGAATATTTGCTGAACAAGAACGCCTATAATTGCATCATGCTTTTTATGCTTTACAAACAATCTTCGCTGTGTATTTGCAAACTGAAACAATATGCAAAGGAAGGTCATCCATGCTCCCGAGGCTGATGGGTAATTACTCCCAAATGAGTTTGGGGAAAAGAGGCGAGGCCTTTCGTGTCCTCCAGGGTTTCCCCTCTAATTGCAGTATCTTTGAACACATGTTCATATAGTTTGTAACTGAAAGGGAGCCAAACATTCAGGCGTCATTATGGAGAAATCTTTTGTATTTCCTCCACATTCTTCTCTTGGGGTTTCTCACTGAAACGAATACAGAGCATCCTATCAACAGTATCTCGCTCTCTCAGACAGGGAATATGTCCTGACTGTGACGGATGACCACACTCGGCTGCCTGTGTCTCTCTGTTTTGCCTATCGATGTCCCCGGTCCTCTGTCACATCATCCTCCCTTTACTGCCAGCGTCACGCCTCACTCTGTCTGTGACTGCTGCTCAAGTGTCATAAAAGAGACCACTGGGGGATCACAGGCTGGTGTGAGCAGAATATTAACAGATGTGACATTTTAATATGGCATTTCAGAGCGAAAACACACACAACAATAAAAGTCAAAACAAATTAGATTTGTAAGTAAAAACATTTCAAATGGCATCTGATGAGGATCACACAGTCGTTAGTATAAGTCAGAATTATGAGCGTGAGTATGTGTGAGGGGAATATAAGACAAAATATGTGCCAACCTTCATGTGTCCCAGAATGTTCTTGAGCACTTGGACCTCCTCGTCATTACTCGGGGTTATCCTGAAGACTTGATCACTGCAAAAACAACACAGCTCTTCTAAGTTTTGGGTTCAAAGCGCCTCTAAGGGGTTTTAACCCTTAAAATTCACCGTATCAGGGCTTGGATCCATTTTCGCTAAATGCCCATCATTTCAAAAACATCTGGGCAACGGAGTCACAGGTAATGCTACCTGCTTTTGTGCTGATTGAAGGTGACACTTCTAATAACAGATGTTTGATGGTGAAATGGGTGGTTCCTCCTTTAGAGTGCTATAGATGACAGGGTCAAAGCCCAGTCAAACAATCTGTGTGAGACATCATTAAAGGATTATATTTCATCGTTTCCAGCTCTGCAGGTAGCACCTGGAACTATTCTTTGGCGGATACAGTAGCAGCAGCAGCTGTTTCACATTTCATACTGTAAATACATCAATCATATACTGATATATGCTGCAGATAGATGTGAAAAACACCTGAACATATGAACGAGTATAGTCGAATGATTTGTTTGACATTGCAACAGGACATCCGTTGGAAATCAGGCTGTTCTTATACACTTTTCCTATGTTTTCCTACAAAAAGCTATGCCCCAAAAGCTGTACATATCCCACGCAGTCATGAGCAAGTAATTTGTGCCTAACCCACGTATTGTGGAAGCCTGCGAACATGTGACCAGTGCACTGATGGAACAAAAAGGAGGGGGTCCCAAGTGGGCAAGTAAGAAGGCAGTTTGGAGCAGCGGATGTGTCAGAAAACACAGGACTTTCCCCACGAGACTGGTGGTCCGAACCGTGTGAACTTTGAGTAAACCCTGAGTCATTTTATGATACGTCATCACCATGTTTGCCTTCCCTAAACCTACCACACTAACTTTAGTTGCCAAAACCTAACTTCTGTAACTTTACATTAAGAATGTAATGGTCATTCGTGTGATGAAAATTTGTAACATATCATACGAACCATTGTCTGTGCATTTTCGTAGGGTATCGTACAAACAATGCTATGAGGATACATTGCTGAAACACTCAAAACGACCTGTTGTATATCAGTTGCTCAACCCATGTTACGTTAAATTTATGGAGCAAACTTTGTTTTTGTCATACGTCTCCACAGGTGAACGAAGAATCCAAAAATGGAGAAGATTCCTGATGAATGTTTAACAACAGCAAAACTATATCAAAACATACATTTACAGACTCACACAATTTGTGCAGCATAATCCAAGTCTCATTTACCCCAGTCAAATGCTCAGTACTTCCCAAACAGACAGACCTTTCTGATGGGGAGCTTAACTGTAATTGAAACATATCTTTGCTCTCTTCAAACTCCATTTACAAAAACAGTGATTTTACCTCACAGAACACAAGAGCTGCTGCTCCATGGCTGCCTCAATCAGAACATGGATACATTTCACTTTTGGTTCAGCTCCCTGTCAAAAAGGGCTGTCTGTTTGGGGGCTACTGAGCATACAGCTGGATAAACTTGGATTATACTGTACGAGTTGTGTGAGACTTTGTAAATGGATGGACATGGACCCCTTTGACCTTAATTCATCAAGAGGGTTCTCTGTTTTTGGATTCTTCGTTCACCAGAGGCAAGTTTTCATCATGAATTTAAGGTATCAAAGGGAAGTAATTGATATTCAAATGATGGTTTGGGTGGTGAAATACTTCTTTAATGTTTGTTTTGGGGGGGGTTTAACACAGAAAAGAAATCATTAGTGAATACAACACTGTCATTTGAAGTCCGAGACACAGCTAAAAGGTGTTTGGTTGATTCAAACCACAGACAACAACCATTCATGTTTATTTTGTCAGACAAGGTGGGGCTTAAAAAAAGCTGTGCTGCATTTAAACATCTGTGGTCAGATTAAAAAAACACTGGTGCACTTTCTGAGTTTAGTACTTCATTCAATTTTGTTAATCGAGAATCAAGAAGAAAATTATGTTAATCAACTGCAGAAAAAGTTAATTAATTTGTTAGAAAATACATTAGTGAAATGAGTGAAAATTAAATATAAAAACCATGATAGACTAATAGTATTATTCACATATTGGTCTTGGCAGATGACTGAAACAACCACGAAAGAAAATAGAGAACCTTGAAAGCCTCTCTAACAGAATCTGCAAACCACATCTTTTATGATAAAACAAAGATGTTCTTTATCCTCATCATGAATCTTTCACAGTGTTGCTCTCACTCTGCAGATCACAGTTCCTGGGGTTGACCTTAAAGCTAACACACCGCCAATAATTCATTAATTACAGACTCAGGGTCTGCCCAGATACCTGTCTGTCTGCCAGGTAGTATATCTGTCCACTTTGATGTCTTATGTTTTTTTAAACCTCTTTCTTTCTCTCCGTGTCTTCCTCTCTCATGTTTCGCTTCTTTCAAAGAGCTTTTTTTTTTTTTTTACAATGTGTCACACAGGAAGTTGGGCCCCCTAAACAAAGGTGGCAGTCGGCCACTCTGAGGTTTTGATGAACAAAAGGGGTCCGGGTGTCCCATGTGAGTGGCCACCCCATTTCAGTGACCACAACACAGTGTCCAAAAACAACCTGTTTCCATGGCAACAGCGAGGATAGAAGATGAACTTCAAAGTGTGCAGGCCAGTAGGTTTTGGAGGTGAGAACATTGTTTGGGAAACTGAATCTAGACCGATCTCAAACCTCAAAAAACAACTTGTACTATAAAATCTCTTCTTTGAAACATCAGAGAATACGTGTTTCCACATCTTCAATCGGTTCTCACTGGTCTAAGCTGGTAAGACCTGTGTTTTTTGTTTCCACCAGTGCATTCAGCACCATGCACACACACACACACACACACACATACAGAGTCTCCAAGTAACTAAAGTGGCACCCCAGAGCTCTACTGTGGTCCAAATTGAACCATTTGTTCATCTTGTTGTGATTCTCAAAGATGACATGCTGTTTTTGTTACAGTGTTGGCCTGGCAAAGGCCTTTTGCTTTGAATCTACCAGCTGCAGGGCTCTCGGAGCTAAAGCTGTCTTTAAGTTGACAGTGTGTTGATTCCCACAGCAGTACTCTCTCCGGGATGGAAGCAATTTGTTTTAAACCGAGTAGTTGACTCTCAGCAGTGTTTTGATAGTGTAATATATTGCAGCCATCAATTCTCCATGTTCAATATGTACAGTAAAGAAACTCTGTACATGGATGGTATGAATTTTTTGGCAATTAAAGTCTTCTTTTTAGACTTTAAAGGCTCATAGTGAGCCACCACAACTCTGATTTCTGAGTGAAACAGGGCCCCTCTATAGAAACGCATGTTAGGACTTTTTGCGTTAAACTAAAGGTGGCAGCAATTTTTGGAGCATATCCAAAATATATGTTGTTTGAGACAGACGAGAAGGGGGTTTCCAGCACAGTTGGTCGCCCTCTGCTTCTGCTAAATTGCATCAGAAGCTCTTTTGAAAAACAGACCATAAAGCCTGACATGCCCATGATGCCTTCTGCCAAATTACTATATGTGTCCACCTCCAGGTGGTCCCATAGGAGACCATCTATTAGGCTACCAGCTACTTTCAGGGTCTTCTTGGGGAGGTGTATGACCCACATTTAGCCTCATAACCATGCAGACAGACTAGTTTGCCAGGACTTTTGACAAAAGTGACTGTTATGACAAATTTGTTCTCTCTTGTGATTATGGAAGCACATGGCTACATGGAGAGGGCTGGGAGTTGCTGCCATCTTACAGCTATAATTTCTGAAATGAATACTTTGAGCAGTTTGACAGGCCACTGTAGCTGCAAGCATCCCCTGCGTCCTCTGTGCCTATCATGAGCAGTCTGAATGCCTCTCTGCAGCACAGCCTTATCCAAATGCCATCAGACAACAAGATCAGTCTAGAGGAAACTAAAAACATTATGTCTAACAGGAGAGATGTCCCGAAACGATGAAGTGAGAAGAAAGACTTTATTTGTTTTTCCTCTCCACTCTCAACCTAAGATAAAGCCCGTCTCTTGGTGTGTAGTCTCTGCAGAAAACTTGTGATAGTGCGCTTTTCCTGCAGGATGAGAGGCTCTGGTGAGCTCCACAAATGAATGGGGGTCTTTACTCACCCTGCGTAGCGGTTGTTGTAGAGATAGGCACCGACGGGACATAGCATGTTACTGCAGATTATCACACACGCCAGCAAAACGGAGGCGCGAAATGCGCTCTTATGATCCAGTACCATCCTTGGCCAGCAGATCAAAGACGGAAGACACCGACTGGGCTACTTTGCAGGATGCACGCCAACTTATCAGAGAAGAAATGAAACTCAGAGGACTCAGTCCAGTCGCACCATCAGCTAAAGTCACTTTTTGGTCGCGGTGCGCGCTCCCGTGGATGTCCCTCTGACACAGAAGGTGCAAAAGGTGCGAAGGTCGGTCATCTGGCACAGGGGGAAGCATTTACCACCTCTTTGAAGCTGTGGAGGGAATTGCAGGGTAGCAGCTCTTTTTAAAATGAGGAGGACCTGAGTCACGTGGGCCGGTGTCGGCTAAGTTGGTAACTGGATCCCTGATCACTGGTGCGCACTGTGTGCTGGGGGGGGGGATGTTCCACAGTGAGCCGTGAACACATGGACACATTCATCAAATATGATTTTTTTTAGTGGAAGATAATGTGTCTCTTAACATTTTAAGTGATGCAGAGGCTTTTGTGTACTGTATCAAGTGACTCATCTTTATCACTTGAGAACAACAGGCTCATTCTTCCAGAGCGCTCAGCTCAGGTCCTTTGAAGAAGACACTCAGCTCTTTCCTTGTTTAGATAAAACTGTCAAATGTGCTGTGTTGTCCATCTCCATACAACTCATCAGTGGTGGACGAAGCGCTGGCATATTCTACTTTAAGTAAAAGTGGCAATGTAAAAATGCAGAAATACTCTATTACAAGTAAAACCCCTGCATTCAAAATTTTACTTTAGCGGTAACTTCTGTGCTTTTCAACCTGCATCTTATTTTCCCATGTTTTTGTGTTTATGTGACTAATAGAAACAACAGTTTCCCAGCTGCAGCCTGCAGTGGCTTAAAAGGCTGCAATGTATTAACAGGCAACAGTGCACCTTTAATGTGCATCCACTAAAAGTACTTGTTTTTGTCACCGACAGGCTCAAATTAATACTCAGGGTGCCACTGTTATGGAAAGGACAATACAGAGATAAACCTCTTTGTTAAAAATGTGTTTTCTGTTTTCACATCTAACTGGGTGGATTTAGTATTTATGTCAAACAAACCAGAGTTGGTGATTGTTGGAACAGTGGAAAGATGAACCAAGACTGTTTTATGATGATAAAATTGTTAATTTAATTTTGCATCTTGTGGGTTTGACAACACTCGCAAAAAGAATCCACTGGTTTAACTTAAAAAAAATCAAGGTAACAATTTGCATTCATCTTTTTAAGTAGCAGTAATCTGACAAACTAATTTAGTTTAGTACAACCAACATGATTTGCTTTAACCTCAAAAAACTTTACGAAGTTGAACCAACTTAATATTTATCCAAAAGTTGTAGCGATATAGTGGTCAAATTATTTTATTTAAGATAGTCCAATTTATTTATTTGAACTCCATCTTACTAAAAAAAATGTCAAACATGTTTCTGATTATGACCAGCTTCTTAAAATGCTGACTGACTGAAATGCATTAATGAAACAAATGTAATTTTTTTTACACTAAAAACTTCTTTATTGCAAACCCCATTCTGGTTAAACAAAAAGGATCTTATTCTTTAACAAAAAATATTGATCTCTGTAGGGATTCTTTCCATAATGTTTTGAGACACTTGTGACTTTTTCATTGGTATTCTCTTGTTTAAAATCCTATTCTTGGCCTATTTCCAGCATATTTATGTCTGTGCATTTAGCAGAAAAAATGAAATGGCTATGCTTTCTGTTCGCAGAACATGCTTTCATTGTCTATCCCTAGGGTACATACAGAGTTTGTCAAACAAGCATTTATACATGCAGCTCCTTATATGTGGAATCTTCTGCAGAAGGACTAAAAATTGCACTCATTGGTTCCTCTCAGACATTTCAAAGCACAGGATTTTGTATGCAATCATCTATATGCCAGTATCTTGCTGGTCTTTGTAATCATGTGTAGTTGCATTTGTGGTTCATTTATCGCATATATTGATATACTTTTTGGCTTTTTTTGTGCTAATTTCATTTTTTGTTTTATGTTGCTTGTTTTAAAGCTGTATATTTTTATTACACTATGTTGTCTGTCTATAATGAATGTTGCTGCCTGTCTTGGCCAGGACACTCTTGAAAAAGAGATTTTTAATCTCAAGAGATTTTTCTAGTTAAATAAAGTTAAATAAATTAAATAAGTGGCAGTGTAGCTACTAGCTGCGGCGGTCTCACTCAGTACTGGACAATTAGTCACTTAGACACAAAAACATGGGAAAATAGGGCCCATGTTGAAAAATACTGGAGTTACCCTTTAAGTAAAAGTATGAAAGTATCCATCCATCTATCTATTTTCATCCTCTTATCCATCAAGCAAAGCACCCCAAATGTCCCTCCCCTCATGACATTTTCCAAAAGTGTTTGCATCAAAATATACATAAACCACCAAAATTAAATGTACTCATTATGCAGAGTGGCCCATCTCAGAATAATTTATATCATATAATTGAATTAAAATTACAAATAGGTACATAAATGTGTTCATCTCTCTAATGTTGCAGCTGGTAAAGGTGGAGCTCATTTTAATTTATTTATATACTGGTGGATAGCTTGTGAGTTTCCCTCTGCAGATTACTGAAGTCTTATCTATAGCTACATCATCATTTATTTGTTGATTTTTTTGTATGATCTGAATATGCAGAGTAACTGAAGTTATCAAATAAATGTAGAGTAAAAAGCACAATATATACCCCTGAGAAGTATAACTTACAGTATAGCTGTCATCTGCATGTGGGTAATGTACAGTATATCTAATGTATTTTTGTCATATTGACACTAAGAACAGCATCATATCCCAGTGAGCATCCTATAAAGATTGCATCATGTTGTCCGCCTTGATCAGTAGAAAGGAAATGTATGCCCCACATGGACAGGAAATACATAGTAAATCCAGAAAAAACAGTAAGGGAGTATTGTTCATTCAGACATTAAGAGCCCATTGAGTTCCTGAATCCTCAGCTTCCTGTTCACTTACACCTCTATACCTCACAGCCCGAGTGATAACCAGCAACCAGCTCTGTCAGTGCCTTGGCCCTGCTCCACCAGGAATCCCTCTGCTGAGCTTTAGGTGGCTCTCCCTGTTATTCCAGGCTTTTTGTGCCTCCGTTTGATCCTCTACTTATCACCCAACACAGTGATTAAATGTCTAAGTCAACTGCCAGCCTTTTCCTTTTGTGATTGCATGGCAGCAGCACATTTTTCACATGCTTCGCTCCAGTGTCAACAGTGCGCCACCTGTTTTACACCCAATTACTGTACAACAGAACCCAAACACTCCCCGCTCCCTCCAAAGCCTCTTGTACAAACACACATAGACATTAGGACAGGGGTGCTGTTTTGACAACACCAACTAATGCACAGGAGATGTGGAGAAGTAGAATTATTATACAGTTGAGATAATGGTATTTACAGAACACAGATGCTCAAATCAGCATAGCAATAACTAGCTTGATAACTTAAGGATGGAGTTTAAGCAGCAGTGAGCTCATATTCGCCAGCATTTAGTTTTAAACTCAGGATGGGCTGAAAGATTTATTGATGAAACAAACTTGAAACTGATACCACTTTGAGATAAAATGCTCTTTGTGTGCTTGCTGTGATTTAAGACATCATACCCATACACCATATAAATCCACCGAGTCTTCTTTCACTTGTTGACATAATAGAGTCAGGATTTTAAGCGTTTCCAGCCATTTGCCATAGCTGTTCTAAAAACAGACTCAAAGTGGAAACAGACAACTTTTCACCCCCTGGTGTTCCCAAGTGTGATCATTGTCGGCGCCACTGTCGCAAACACAGCCGCATAGTTTTCCTCAGAGCCTCATTTTTTACAGTTAATTCAGTTTTTCCCATAAACTGTGTAAAATTACGGATGTAGCTAACATGATGTCACCAATTGGATTGTGGACTTCCATTTCGAAGCCTCAAGATTGGCATTTTGGACATTGCCATCTTGTTCTTTGGAGCTGTGGAGGAGTGATGGGTGGATCTGACTCACATACTGTAGCAATGCTCATAGACAGCCTGCTGTAAAGTTAGGCATTTTAACATGGGGGTCTGGGGGGATTGACTCACCTCAGGAGTCAGCCTCAAGTGGCTTTTAGAGGAACTGCAGCTTTTGGCACTTCCACGTTGGCTTCATTTTTGCCCCTGCAGATTGTCGCTCACATATTTATGCTTTTCTGTCAGCGACCTCACCCTCCTTGGACGCTTTCAAATCAAAATTGAAGGAGGTGAAAGGATCTCAAATGAAATCTGGAAATAGTCCATTGCAATGATCCACACAATTTCCACACGTGTCAGACATACATTGATCCAATTTTAAATATTTCACAGACTGTATCTGTCCAGGAGTAGGCTTGCTCAACTCTTTCCACAATTTGAACCAACCTGTCAACAGTGCAACCAAGACCCAGCAACCCTTAATCATACATTCTGGGCTTGTCCACAATTTTGGGCTATGATCTTCGTACCAGATAACAAGGCCATATACCAAGTCTGGCAGTTTTTGGCATTGCTCTTAGAGATCTGAATCTCTCTTGAGCTGAGGTCCACACTGTTGCTTTTTCGTTGCTTTTAGCAAGACAGCCTTTTTTCTTGGGCTTAATTTTCCTGAGGTTACCACCTGATTGTTCCACCATCCAGCCATTCTGCTGCTGGGGATAGTAACTGCAAACTTACACTGATATTCTTTGGTAACTTGGGATAGCTATAGAAAGCTACCACGGAAAACAAAAGGGCTATCCTTCCTGTTTTGGTTGCACAATGGTTGATGCACTTCCTTTGTGCTGTCAATCGCGCCTTGATTTTTTTCAGGACATCATATCAGACCACAACAGACATAATTGCATGGTAAAAATTAGGCTTATAAGGAACCAGTCTAGACACAGATGGTGTCGTTATTCTATACCCGCTATACTGTGCAATCAAAATTTACTTTTATCATGATGGGTTAAAGCAAAAAACTTGTATTTTTCCACTTTAATACTGTTTTATCGCCTTCATGACGTTTCCTATACATTCATTCATTCATTTTCTATAACCGCTTATCCTGTCAGGGGTCGTGGGTGGAGCCTATCCCAGCTAACATTGGGTGAGAGGCAGGGTACACCCTGGACAGGTCACCAGACTATCACAGGGCTGACACATAGAGACAGACAACCATTCACCCTCACATTCACACCTACGGTCAATTTAGAGTCACCAATTAACCTGCATGTCTTTGGACTGTGGGAGGAAGCTGGAGTACCTGGAGAAAACCCACGCTGACACAAGGAGAACATGC